TGAGATGCTTGTCCTGGCACCTGCAGGGGAGACCTATGGGTCTGCGGTCACTGAGCCCAATGGACTGAATGAAGGTCCTGGGTTCCATTTCAGTCAAGGTCATGTACTGGTTGGGGGCAGGATCCTGGGCCCTGGTCCCGTGCTTAGAGGAGGCAACCAATCAATGTGTCTCTTTCAACAGATGTTTCTCTGTCTCTTCGCCTCCTTTCCACTCTCTCTAAACATCAATGGAAGATATATCCTCCAGTGAGGTTTAGCACCACCACCACCACCACCAACAAAAGTTAAAATAAAGTAAAATAAAAATAAAAAGACAAGAAAAAAATGTCTAAGAGCCAGGACAGGGCCTCCCCAGGAAGATCTCCACTGTCAACACCACTGTCCAGGACAGGTGCCCGAGGTGGGTACTAACCATCACTCCTGCTCATAGAAAAGGAACAGGCCTGGGGCGGTTGGAGGGTGGGGGGGGGGGGGGGTGACTGTCCCGTGGTCACACAGGGAATGAGCCCTGAGCTGGGATTTGAACCCAAGTAGGGTGCCCGGGGCATACCTGCTTGGCCCTTGTGAAAAACTGCTTCTCTCTTCCAGGAAACACCAGCAGAAGCCCAGCTCAGGACTCACTGGGCACGTCTGGATCTCCTGTGCACTTATCTCATGGCCCCACATGCATGTGGTTGGTGTGATGTTGTCCTGCAGACAAATTCCTTGATACCTCGTGGAGGCAGCCTGGGTGTGTGCTGTCTGTTTCCAGGAGAGCTCAGCTACAGGCGTCAGCACTCACTACAGTGCCTCCCCTCCTCACTCCAAGTCTGTTCAGTGGCGCTGTCCACTCTCTGTGACTCAGAGTTCCCCAGAGTCAGAGCCTGGCACACACACTGGGTGCTCAGGGGTGTCTGTGGGGTGAGTGACTGACAGGAGAAGGATGGGGGCAGAGAGGAAGAGCTCCCCATGGCAGCAGGGGGCTGGCCACAGCGGGGCCGGGGCCAGTGAGCTGGCGGAGCTGCCCATTGTTCGGGCTGTGGGAGCTTCCGTTCCCAGTGGACTTGACCTTTTTCCTGAGTTCAAAGTAGCGTGTGTTTCTCTTCTGAATTTTGTCCCAGTTCGCAAAGGGCAGTGAGAAGTCCAGGCACCCAGATCTCCCTTCCGCCCACCCCTCCTGACCCCCGTGGGCCCCACCCTTGGAAGAGGCCTCCGCATAGTCCCCTGCCCCCCCTCCCTGGGCACCCACCCTATGGGTGGCGGGGGGCAGCGAGGCGGGCCAGGGTCCCAGGAGAGGAGCTCGGGGCGGGCTCCTTGGGCAGACGGGGCAGCTGAAGGCAGGGGAGGGGCCTGGCAGCGGGCTCCGTGGTCTGTGACCCAGGGAAGGCAGGAGGGGGACTGAGATGCCGGCTCTCAGAAGCACGTGGAAACAATTGACCAGCATCTGCCCAGAAATAAAGTCACTGATGAGGTGCCAGCCCCGTCCCGGGTTCTGTGGGGGTGCCACCCTCGCGGGTGCGGTGGGGGGAGAGGGGTTTGGGGGAACCCACTCAGCTCCTGGGGCAGCCGTTCCTGCCCTTGAGTCTAGAGCGGGGACCTGGTGAAAGGTGATGGCGGTGAGGGCTCCCCCATTTCCACCCGCGGGAGATACGCACACCCGCTGAGGCCCCAGGATCAGGTCACCCCACGTCCGTCTCAGAGGCAGGGAAAGGGGTGGCTCAGCATCAGGCCCACCGGGGCGGTGGTTCTGGAGACTGGGCTGTGACCAGGAGCCAGGCTGGTGCTCCCAGAGGTCTGTGCGGGCCTGGCTGGGGGTGGGGTATGGTCCTTCTTTCTGTCCCACCTTCTTGGGGTCCGGCCAGGGGCTCTGTAGTTCCTCCGCCTCGGCACCCCCTCCAGTGTATCCGGCCCTTGGCCTGGAACAGGGGCAACGCCAGGCCCCACCCCACCTGCCGGGTGAGTGATGGGAGCAGCCTGGGCCGCCCTCGCCTGGTCCCTGAATCCATCTCAGTCCCACTCCTGGACCCCCCCTCACCCTCCAGGTCCAGCCACTTCCGAGGGCTCGGAACTCACGGCTTCTGATGGCTCTCACGGGTGACGGTGACCCCACGGCGTGAGTGAGGAGGAGAGATGGCAGCGAGCTCCCGCCAAGCGGAATCCTACTGGTCTGCGACCAGGTCTCCATCGCCTGCAGACCAGGCTGGGCTTTTTGATTTATTTATTTTAAATAAATTTTATTGGTTTTTTACAGAGAGGAAGGGAGAGGGACAGAGAGCTAGAAACATCGATGGAGAGAAACATGGATCAGCTGCCTCCTGCACATCCGCTCC